TAAGATCTTCAGTGTTCTTGCGGAAATACTGTGCTGCTCCCGTTCGGGCAAAAGCCCTCTTGCGCAAATCATTTGTGCAAGAGGGCCAGTGTAAACAGCACAGTAATGTTTTCCGCAAAAAGGTCCTGATCGCGAAAATGGCGATCGGGGCTTTTTTGCGGAAAAGCGCGTCTAGATTGGCCACGGATGCTTTTCCGCAAAAAGTGCTTTTGCGGAAAAGCATCCTGCCAATCTAGACGCGCTTTTCCGAAAATGCTTTTAACAGAAAACTTTTCCTTTAAAAGCATTTTCAGAAAATCATGCCAGTGTAGACGTAGCCTCTGATCCATGCGGTAAGTGTTGTTTCTATTTAAGTCTCATTTCAATAGGAACTGTGCATCTAAACTCTCTAGGCAACTTTGAAAATATCAGCTTTAGGCCCCAAATCTGTAAAGTTTAGTGCAAGCTGGAGTTTGGGGCCATTATACCCTCAGTGGGATTCTGCCTAATTATAAGGACGTACAGTGGCAGATCCCTTTGCAGGCTTAGAGTCTGAAGGCAAATGCCAGTAAAACAAGATTCACTGGAAGAGCCAGAGCAAGGTGCTAACTTTGATTTTTTTTCCTCTTTCCTTCCCTCTCATTCCTTTTATATCATGTTGGAGTGGAGATGGCATTTGATTAAGCTGAGTTTATTTTCTGAACTTCATGGAAGAAATATGCTAGGCCAGGAAAGTATAATGAGAGCCATCAGAGTAAGGAGCAGTGATTATATTAAGATATCAATCCAAAATATTTTCATTTCCAAATAAACCCAATAGTAGAATAAAGTTTATAGGTAAGACTCTTTCAGGACTATTTATACAGTGTGGAATGCCAAAGTATACTATGGAGTGGCATTCCATCAGAAGGACCGATAGAACCTCAGATCGTTTCTAGCAGGGATGGATTTTTTTTTTTATAGTAAGATTACTACAGACCAATTCAACCCTGAAATAACTCTGATGAAGTCTCCTAAACCAGTGGAATTACTCCAGAGATGAATATATTCTTTCATGTCTAATTTCCATAAATCAGATATTGTGATGAACCATTTCAGTAGGTTTACTCTGTATTAACTACATCTGTCAACAAGGCAAATAGAATTGGATTTGTGCTGATTCAGATCTAATCCCAAAATTGGGTATATTCTGATCCAGAGTGTTGGTTCATCTTATAGATAAAAGGGCAGCTACAGCAATGAGACCATTGCACATTGGGAATAAATTTGCCCAATGTTTTCCATTTAATCATAGGGGTTTGGAACTGACGTGTATGTTTAGCCCAATCTCTAAATATTAAACATTGGCCTAGGCTGTGAATTTTGCCTCTGGATTCAGACTTTCCCAAAAGAGGGGGATTGTCCATATTAGGATAGTTTCATAAATGTATGTACAAAATTTAGGAAAAGTTCCTAATCCTCATTAGTGAATATTTGAAGCAGCAAGAGGTCTAAGGTCTGATTTTTCCAAAGGGGAATGGCCACCGTATTAGTTCTAGATCTTAAAAAATAATATATACAGCCATGATCAATTGTATCATACAGGAGGCTAATTTATAGAAACATAGGTCCTGATTCTCCACTCACACCTGTGTAAATCCGGAGTAAATCTGCTGAAGCCAGTGGATTTACAACAGCGTAGGTCAGAAGAAAAGCAAACCCCTTCTCTTTAAGGTAAGGTCTTCAGACATGAAAAGACCTCAAAACAGCTTTCAAACTGTACTCAAACAGGGAGCTTTAGGTCTGTCTTGCAACAAAACTTCATAACCCCATGGACATTGTCTTAACCAAATATCTTAACTACAAATGAATTGCACATATGTGACAACCTTGAAGCCTAACAGAGTGACAGAAGAATAGAAAGCTTCCCAGAAATCTCCTTGAGGGAAAAGCCAAGAATTATCTAATGTGGATAAATAGGTTAAAAGGATATCCACATCTTGGATTTTGATAAATTTAGGATTGACAGGTTGAACGAGAAAGAGGTAGCCCTAAGCAGAAGCTTATATTTAGGGCGAGATGTCAACTGAGCTAAAAACAGGCTCAAAGCTGAGGCATATGATTTAATCAAGGCATCTGACAGACTCAATGGAAACTTCTTTGAGAAGAAGCTAAGAATAAAAGTGACAATGTCAATAAATGGAGTTGGTTTCTTTGCTTGGTCCAAGAAATCAAGTTTTTGACTAAATGATGAAGTCAGAGTATTTTCAGAAACACTTTCTCTATCCAAGAAAAGACCAATATTTGCAGGCCTGGCCTTTGGGCAAGGTGAGCGAAGCAGTTGCCTTGGGCCTCGCGCATTCAGGGCCCCGCCACTCCGCGCGTTCAGGGCCCCGTGCTGCCCAGCTCCTGGCTCCACCCACCCAGCCAGGAGCCATGCAGCTCAGTGTGCTGCCTTGGGCCCCGCACACTCTTTGGCTGGGCCTGAATATTTGGACATAAGATTCAAAGATGCTTGTAATTCAAATTGAGGAAAAGTTGATATCAATCAGAAGCTGGATGAGTTAACTGAAGAACCTAAGAAAGGAGATAGGTCTTCTCCCTCTGGAGCTTGTAGCCTACCGTCATGCCCAGTTTCTCCTGTGGAGAATACTTGGTTCTGGGTATGGATTGTTGGTGTGGGTTAAACCATAACTTAAAACAGGTGATATCAAACCATGATGAAAACCAGATATGCTAAGCTAAGCTCAGAAGTTGAATCTGGGTGTAATTTGTTATGTGTTCATTGAAGTCCTACAGGTAGATTGATGGTCCACAAGAAAGATATATGTTATGCTGTAGTTCACACAGTGCCTCAGTAGGTAATTCAGAATTAAAGTATTCCACGGCTCTATTCTCATGCTCTTGCGGTATATGACATTATTTCCTTACACTGCATTGAAATGACTGTCTTATGACATAACGGTTTTTATGATACCTAAGCGTGCATTATAAGCAGAACTTATGGAGTTAATTAAAGGCTTCCCTTTTACGTGCAGCTGGGCACAAAATACTGGGAGGTAAATTTATCATATGATTTTTCATTTACTCGTATGTAGGCCTGGCAGAATTAATTTTGTATTTTTTTGTAATTTTGAGAAATAATATCAGTGTTCACTTCTAAGCATTTTTTCCCCATTTTTATCAATTTAAATGTTCAGAGTTGAGCAAAATTTTGGATTGTAAGTATTTTTAGGTACAGAAATTCTCACAATTGCAGGAAATTATAGAAAGTCCGATAATGGGTGTCTAGACAATAATTATTTAATGACAATAGATGTTAAGAGTTAAAAGTTAAAGCTTTCTACTGCTAAAACACAAATTAACAACATCACATGTCAAAATGTACAATGTACAGATCCTTAAATCAAATACTAGTAAGTTCTCAAACAAGATTTTTCTCGCTTTGCCTATCTGTAGATAATTATCTGTGACAGAAATATCATTCATTGGTTGTATGTATGGTGGAATCAACATTTACCAATAAAAAAACTAACCCTTCTTAGCCTACTCATGTGTGAACAGTACTCATAGTACATTTGGAAAACTCATAAAGATTGAAGACTGAAAAGATTATAGTTGGTCTTTCTATGTTTACTATGAGTTGTCTATTCCAGGCCAAAGTGGTTAGTTGCTTTGTCTAGAGCCCACTCTTCCTTCAAAAATTGACTAGCCCACGAGTCTTGGGGGAAAGCACATAAAAGAACCAAGACCATAGAGCTGTCACAAAGAACTCAAAGAACCAGATATACTGATGGTTTACTGCAGCCTTTCTGAAAAGAATGAAAAAAGGATGCTACCATTCTACGTTAACACAAAAAAAAAAACATTAGTCTTTCTTTTACATGTTTTACGATTGAGGAGAGAGGTTCATTCATATCTAAAAACTTCCAGAGCTGACAGATAACTTACAAAGCTCTATGAATACACTGCTACTCCATGAGCAAGACAGAAACCATGAGGATAATTGTCAGATACAAGTCCTTTGTTAGAGTAATAGATTTTGGACTGTCATGATTCCTGAATTATAGCCATATGTACTGGTGAATGCTGAAACATGTAAATGGTAATTCATCATTAACTATGTATAAGAAACTAAATTATTCTTTTCAATACTGTACTCATATCTAAGACATGAAACATTACATTATTTTGTAATTTACACATGCACCGTGAATCAGTACAAAAGTTGTATTTTCTTACAACACATGCAGCTTAATGTCTTGCTTTAGCTTCCCTTGTTCATTTTACTTTCCTTTAATTATAGTTTACTTCCACAGGAAGAATTATTCACTGCAATGTCTGACGTACAGCATCTGTTTTCCAAAATTGGGGGTATAGTTTAAAATAGCAATTTTTTACTAGCTTATAGGTCAGTAATATTCCTGATGCTAACCTCCTACATAATCTTGAGGAAATCACCTACCATCTCTGTGCCTCTATTTATCATTTTGTAAAACAAGGGGGCAGGAGAAATTATGGGCATTTGACTTTACTTTTTACTTTTTCTTCCCTTTTGGGTCAAAGTTTGAAATTTTTACTGAAAGTTGCATCAATATTTCTCACTGAAAATGTTAGCTCCATGGAGTTAAATCATTTGTACATACAGTTGTTACCATTTATTTTGGCCACTTGTGCTCCTGTTAAGTATGTATTAAGAAGAAAATTATTGGTCATAGAAAGTTGCTATTTAATTAGTAAAGAAAAGGCTAGAATTCTGTATACCAGAATAGAAGGAAAAGATCTACAAAAAAGTCTACAAGAAAATGAAAGGTGGCTACAAATACAATTTTGTTATTCAGCTATTGTTACTGACATTATAAGCATTACCATGTATTGCACAAGCTCTAATATACAGCCTGGTGGTCAAATAGATAGCTAGATCAACTGTTTATTTCAATCAAAGTAATAGGAGCAGACTTAATTAAAATCAGACGGACTCTGTATTGCAATATAAAGGCAGAGGGAGAAACAGGATAAGCATTTGTGTTCAGGAAACAAACCTTCTTAATTGATTTTCCTGGAAAAAGCTTCTAGTCTCAGAAAAGTTTTCCCCAGCTTGATGTCCATTTCCAATGGCTTTGTCTCTTGCTACATCTGTAAGACATAGAAATTCTGTATTGTTTTATCTCCCAGGGAGGATAGGCTTTCTCCTTGATGTAACCATACCTCTAAATTACTCCAGAGTTCAGATTCCTGGAGGTGTAGTGGATAGATGGCAATCTGGGTTGCAATTTACGATAAACCATTTTCTGATACCACTTCTGTGATGTAACATTGAAAGTATGTTGCAGAATACGCTGCTCTGTAGTAATGTGGTGAGAGAGAGTTATATTGTCTTGGCAAACTCTTCCTTATCTGTCGTACAATATGTGCTGTTGTGATTTTTTTCTGACGCTGCCACAGAAATGTTGAAAGTCATACAATTAATTTGTGTTCCTATGCTATGTTTTCTGGTCTGTCGTTTGGAACTGGCACTTCTTGTTAAAGTGCAAAATTGTAGTGTTTGCATGTAAAACGTTTTATTAAATGTGTGACTAGGTGCATTAACTTTTCACCGCTCGAGATCTGGGTTCAAATCCTGAGCATAGATTATGTGTGAAAATGAGCAGAGATGGCTGAGGAATGGTTATATCAAAAGTGGTTTTGTTTTGTAAAAAAAATAGGTTCTCGTGGGGGAAAATATCTTAATATTTTTGGTATTTTAGTTTAAAAAATCAAGAATGATTTTTTAAAATTTTTGGCTTATATGTAAGAACATAATAATGGCAACGCTGAGTCAGACAATAGTACATCGAGATCAGTATCTGTCTTCTGACATTGCCAGTTGTTTCAAAGGGAATGAACAGAATGAAATCATTAAGTGATCCATCCCCTGTTGTCCAGTTCTAGCATATCTGTCTCTGAGGCTTTTGGACACCCAGAGCATAACGTTACATTCCCTACCATTTTTGCTAATAGTCACTGATGGACCTTATCCTCCATGAATTTATCTAATTCTGTTTTGAACCCCATTATCGTTTTGGCCTTTCCAACATCTCTGGCAATGAGTTCCACAGGTTTTGTGAAGAAAAACTTCATTGTGTTTGTTTTAACCCCACTGCCTATTAATTGATTTGGGTGACCCCCAGATATCGTGTTATGTGAAGGGGTAGATAACACTTCACTTCTCCATTCAAATCACCATTCATGACTTTTTAGATCTCTGTCATATCCCCACTTAGTTGTCTCTTTACCAAACTAAATATTTCATATTTTTTTAATCTCTCCTCATATAGAAACGGTTCCATACTCCTAATCCTTTATGATGTCCCTCTCTATCTTTTCCATTTCCAATATATATATATTTGCAATGAAGTGACTAGACATGCATGAATATTCAAAGTGTGGAAGTACCATGGATTCATATAGGGACATTATATTTTCTATCTTATTAACTATCACTTTCCTAACGGTTGCTAACATTGTTAGCTTTTTTGACTGCTGCTGCACATTGCATAGATTTTTTTTCAGGGAACTATTGATAGTGATTACAAGATCTTTTTCTTTAATGGTAAAAGCTAATTTAGATCCCATAATTATGCATATATAGTAGGGATTATGTTTTTCAAGGTGCATTTTTTACATTTATCAACACTGAATTTTATCTGCCATTTTGTTGTTTTGTCACACAATTTTGTGAGATTCTTTTGTAACTATTCACAGTCAGGTTTGGACTCAGTTATTGTGAGTAATTTTGAATTGTTTGCAAACTTTGCCACCTAATTGTATACCTCTTCTTCCATATAATTTATGAACATGTTGAATAGCACCGCTCCCCACATAAATCCCTGTTTATCTCTCTCCATTCTGAAAACTATTTATTCCTATCCTTTGTTACCTGTCTTTCTAACTGGTTACTGATATACGAGAGGACCTTCTCTCTTATCTCACGACTACCTACTTTGCTTAGGAGTCTTTGGCGAGGGACCTTGTCACAGCCTTTCTGAAAATCCAAGAACACTATATCATTGGATGTTTGTTGATCCCTCTAAGAATTCTAACAGATTGGTGGGGGATGATTTCCCTTTATAT